AAAAAATTGGCAAAGGACCTAAATAGACACTTCTTGAAAGTGGACATACAGAGAAAATGGCCAAGAGAGATATGAAAACATGCTCAAAGTCATTAATCATCTGAGAGATGCAAATCAAAACAACAATGTGGTACCATCTCACACCTGTCAGAATGGCTATCATCAACAAATCAACAAATGACAAAGTGCTGGTGAGGATGCAGAGAAAAAGGAATCCTCCTGCACTGCTGGTGGGAATGCAGACTGGAGCAGCCACTGTGGAAAACAAGATGGCGTTTTCTCAAAAAAAAACTAAAAATGGAACTCTCATTTGACCTAGTAATCCCACTTAAAGGAATATATCCCAAAAAACTAGAAGCACCAATCAGAAAGGATATATGCACCCCGATGTTTATAGCAGCATAATTTACTATAGCTAAGATTTGGAAACAGCCCAAGTGCCCATTAGAAAACTATGGTACACCCACACAATGGAATACTACGCTGCTGTAAAAAAGAAGGAATTCTTACATTTGCAACAGCAATGGATGGAATTGGAGAGCATTATGCTAAGCAAAATAAGCCAGTCAGAGAAAGACAAATATCACACGATCTCACTCATTTGTGTAATATAATAAACATCATAAACTGATGAACAAAAATAGATTCAGAGACAGAGAAGCATCAAACAAACTGTCAAACTTCAATGGGAATGGTGGAGAGGATTTGGGAGGTGGTAAGAAATCAACCAAAGGACTTGTATACATGCATATGCTAGTAAGCATAACCAATGGACGCAGACACTAGGTGGGTGAGGACATGTGCCAGGGTTGGGAGGTCGGGGAGCTAAAGGGGGGAAAAAGGAGACATATGTACTACTATTTGCAATACTTTAAACAATAAAAAGAAAGAAAAAATAAATTCACATGGGGTTGGGCAAAAGTGGGCAGGACTAGTATAGTTTGAATCCTATGATTTTCCCCAAAAGTTTAACTGAAGTCCAGGAGGCCCTAGAACTTAACACTAGCCTTTCTGGAACACCAAGGTCATTGTATGAGAGTCTCCACATTTCACAGGTGCCCTAGCAGTAGGCACTAGAATAATCCATCTGTGGGGTTGCAAAGCTTTGACCAGTCCATTCCATTTTGCCTTCAACTGGTGACACTATATTTAGTCCAGTGATCGAGCAGGTTTTAATGTCCACACACTTGGGTCTTTAACTAACCAACACTTCATTTATCTAAGAGAGACTAGAGTGAATTTTCAAATCGAAATTCATTTTAATCTGTGCCTGAAAAGTATTGATGTTTGAATATGCTGATTTTAGAGTGGATTCTAATCTTTATAGACCATGAAGCTTGATCTCAGAGGGATGTATATTAAACAACGTTTACTTAGAAAAATACTGTGTCGATTTACTAATGCCCAAGTACAAGACTCACCAGAGTAGTAATTGGGTGAGCCCCTTAGTGTAAGTTGATTTCCACAAAGTGGTTGAAAAAGTTCTTATGATGGAGGCAAGATAGAGAAGTGTTTGCCAGGTGAATATATATAAAGAGAAAAATTAATACCCAGTCAAAAGTTTTATGCAGAGGGGAACCTGAATGGCATGTATTCTTTCTTCTTGAGCCCTTCAACATTTTTATCAGAAATTTGGATGAAAATGTAGAAGGTTTGCTTATCACACTTTTGAAAGATTCAAAACTAGAATGGGTAGCTTATTTGCTGTATGAATGAATCAGAGTCAGAATGATCTTAGAAGACTGAAACAGTAAGTCAAAACAATAGATTATCTTTTTTTTTAAAGAAGATTTTTTTCTTAGAAAAGCAACAAGTATGAATTTTTTAAAAAGTAAGTACATAAAGTTTTTTTTTTTAAAGACATAATTTATTGTTAGTGAAAACATGCTGGCTTTTTCTGCAATAAATATTTGTTTAATGCACATCCTTTTAAGTCATGTTTAATGGTTTGAAAGACTATCAATAGTAGATCAAAGCATAGACATTAAATTTTGATACATATTGTCAAATGACTCCTGAGAATAACCATATACATTTCCAATTCTTTCATCATTTAAATACAAGTATCCCCTCTCCCTCTGCATAGTCACTAAGTTGCATGTTTGTTTTTAAAATAAATTATTCACTTTTAAATTGCTATCTCTATATATAAAAGCCTAAGCAACTGTTACGATGGAACAACCAGAATGACTGGTTGCTGTGACGTGCACTGATCAGCATGGGGCAGACACTCAGCACAGGAGCTTCCCCTGGCTTACAGGCCCGATCGCCAGATGGGGCCTGCCAGCCAACCTCCCAGTCCCTCCCCTGGGCCAGCAGGTTCCCATTGCCCTATTGGGGCTGGGCCTGGGCTGGGATGGGGAACCAGGGTTGGGTGGCAGAGGATTCATAATTGGCGGTAGGTGGCAGCGAACAACCTCCCATGGTGCCTGGGGGAGGGGCTGTGACCTCTCCCCAGATACCTGGGGGTGGAGGTGATGGGGATGGAAGTGCGGTGAGAATGCGGGATATCTGCTGAACTCACTCCCCTGCTACCTTCCCCTGGGGACACCAGGGCTCATGTGTCTGGGAAGCCCTGAGCTCAGGTGCGGGGCGCCTGTGAGGAGCCTGCACCGCAGCCGCGTGGCCTCTTCCGGGTGAGCTGGGTCATAGCCACCAGGACAACAGAGCTTGTCAGGCTCCCTGTGGGTTTGCACAGGAGCTGGTCTGCAAGACCACCCGGGAGAGAGCGCGCTGCCTGCCCGGCTTTTGTGTGCAGATGGAAGGCCCAGAGGCCTACACTGAGCCCCCCTCCCTACTCCCCCCCCCCCCCCCCCGCCCCCACGCACTCAGCTGTGCTCACCACATCTCCATACATCTCCACATGGGGAGCATGGGGAGTTGGGCTTGGGGACTCAGGCAGAGGGGGGAACGTAGGGGTCAGCTGGACCTGCCCTTCCAACTAGATGCTCATACTTCAATCACCTCCATGCCTAGGGACCACACTCGTGCATGAATTTAAAAATAAAGCTTAATTGAAATAAATGTAGTACTGCTTTAGGTTTGTACATCAGTTGTACAAATATAGAAAGCTGAGAGGAGTCTGGTTTGAGAAAGTTTTGGGAGTTTTAATTGACTCAGACTTATGTAAACCAACAGTGTGGTGCCCTTGCTACAAAATAAATTCAGTATGTGCTGGTAGAGTCAGTGCTGTCTGAAATATCTGGACTCTTGCTTCTAATTCCTACCAACATTATAAACTAGAAAGGATCCAACAAATTCTCGTCAACTAAAGGCTGTCCGGGATGGAAAAAGAGCAGCCTGGAAGCCGTGCTGTGTGAGGAATAGTTGATAGAATCCATATATATAAAAGCCTAATATGCACAGTGTCCCCTTGGGAGTTCGACCAGGAGTTTGATCGCTCACTATGACATGCGCTGACCACCAGGGGGCAGTGTGGAATGAAGAAAGGCCCTGGCCAGTAGCTGATCACCAGCTAGGCCTAGGCACCCTACCTGTGCACGAATTTCATGCACTGGGCCACTAGTTGTGTATATTTAACCTCGAAAAGAAAGCCGAGGTCAGTGTTCATAGTTAATTTTGGATATTTTCAGAGTAGTTTTGTATAAGAATATTTTAATTGTTCTGTATTAAAAACAGAAAAACTAAGACAAATCAATAGAAGTAATAGGAAGGCAGATGTTGGTTCAGAATTAGAGTGGACGTATTTTCTAACAATTATAGCTGATTGCAGATAGGTTGTGTTGTGTTGCAAAGCAGTGAGCACTTGACCCTGGCCTGAATTGAAGCAGCTGTTAAATAGCTATTTAAAGGTATAATGGGGAGGGATTCTTTTTCATTTTTAAAAAATCATTTTTATGAATTATTTTTAAAATGAAAAAGCAGAGATAGTTTACAGACACTTGTGTAACTACCAATCAAATTTAACATTTTAATATTTGTCACATTTTCTTCTTCTTTGTATCAGTTTTGTTTTTCTTTTTAAGATATAAAACATTATGATACAGGTGAAGTGTTTACCCCAAACCCATCCTGTTTTCCTTCTTCCTCATGAGGCTGGTGTGATGCCTTCTTATCCATATCTTTATATTCTTTACTAGATGCCCAGTGCACGAATTTGTGCACAGGTGGGGTCTGGCTGGCCTACCCTGATCGGGGCTGATTTGGGGGGAGGGGCCAAGGGCAGTTGATGAATTGGCCCGTCCCTCCAGTCAAACTCCCAGTTGAGGGGACAATTTGCATATTAGCCTTTTATTATATAGGATTACCTATAATGTATGCTTATTCAATATACAGTATTATTTTGAGTCATATGCCTTTTTTTGCAATATTCTTTTTACATTCAACGTTACTTTTCAAGAGTTATCTATTAACAAATGTACCACATCTAATTTATTACTTTTAACTTTCATGTATAAGTAAATAATTATTCATTTTTCTATAAAAGATTTTTAAGCTGTTTTCAGTTTGTATTTTTTTTTTTTATTTTTTACTGTTATAATCAGCCCTACATTGTTAAGAGATTTGTCCATTGGGAAGAGGTTGAACTGTATGACTTAATTCAGTTTAATTCAACTGATATTTTCTAATCTCTGAGGATAAAAAGATTACGGCATAGTCCCTGCTCAAGGGGTTCATTGTTTAAAGTTCACTGTGAGCTTTGTATTATTTAATTATTTATATTGCCATTTTTAGGCATCTGTAAAACTTGGTTGGTTTAGGAAATCACCTTTTTAATAATGGGCATCATCTGACATATCTATAGTTTTTATTGTAATTTGCAACCTCAAGTCTCAATGTTAACTAATAATTTTTGATAAGATGACTTATGTGTCCAAGAGCATTTGAGATTCTTCTTTAGAGCTGCTTTGTCCATTTATGATTTATGTTAAGGTTTTTTGGTTCACATTTTCTACTGAATTTTGCTCCTTGAAATATTAATAACTGCCACTTATGGTATATTTCTGTGTGTTTTATGTCTGTGTGTATTGTGTTTTTAGGAAAAAGGCTCAGCTCAAAAAAAAAAGCGGTGTGCCTCAGATTAATGAACAAATGCTATTTCATGGTACCAGCAGTGAATTTGTGGAAGCAATTTGCATTCATAACTTTGATTGGAGGATAAACGGTATACATGGTGCTATCTTTGGAAAAGGTAATTATCAGAATTCCAGGTCCAATTCTGGTCCTAAGAGCAAATCTTCTCTCTTTAGAGATAATGGACTGTTCTGTAATTCAGGGGGGTGATAGTTATTAGTTAAAAGTCATGTACGAGGTTCCCAGCACACCCTCTGAAGCTCTGAGCCACAGAAAAGCCCCTCCTGCATGTGCGAGATAGAAGTAAGACTTTGTACTTGAACGGGTCAGATCACGCCCCGCTCCCCGTAGTTCGTAGGGCATCATGTCCATGTTCACTAATTTTTTCATTACATTTAATTTTCATATATAAAAGTCCTTTCCTTGGGTAAAACTAAGACTTTTATGTCATATAAAGAGAGAACTATCAAATAAATTAATGTACATTGTACACAGTCTAGGTACTAGTATTTTTTGTTTGTGTTGTTTTTTAGAAAAAGATAGGTAAGAATATTAATCAGCAAAAAGGAATATTGGGGGAAATCCTCACCTTTTTCCTAATGTTGTGAAAGTCCAAGTTCTCCAATTTATGCCGCTACCCAAGCAAATTGAGGAGAGAGATGAGGGGGAGAAGGTAAGGGACGGACATTTATTTTGCTGGTTCTTGCTTTGTACCTTACCTCCATCAAGAGAACTAACGACCATTTAGGATTAGGGTGTGCTGTATTTTAAAAAAGTAAATAATTTTTTTTAAAAAACTATCAAAACGTCTATTTTATTTCTTTAATGTAAGAGGATCAAAAAAGTGTTACATAAATTCCATCAGTACTGGGTAATACGAGACATTGCAATTATTTTTCAAAAATTTTAGAATAAGCGTTCCCATAATGACGTCAGTCTTCTAGGCCTGAGTCCTCCAAAGAGTCAGATGCTTTACTGAGTTTTCCCAAATAGGCAATGAACTGGTGAAATTGTTCTGTTGGGATGGCCGGATGTGAACAGCATTGTACGCTTGGGGACAGAGAGTTCTATTATTTCCAGAAATACAATTGAATTGTTACTCTGTTTCATGGAAATGTGGTATCTGGGGTTTGAAATCATCTCTGTAGACCAGCAGTTTCCATTGTGCTCTCCAGGGCTTCAGTGGCTGCTGTATAGGGAAGCGGGAGAGGAAAGCAGTGGAAGGAAATAGAAATGGGAGGGAGTCCAAGCAATTAAAACTCAGGTCCTGCCACTCTTTTAATCACAGAAATAGTTTGTATCAGTCTTACATATTGGATTTCTTTGTAAGATTTCTTCTGAAAACAAGTCTGGCACTACTTTGTGGTATGGTGTGATGGAGTTGGTAGTGAGGACTGATCCATACTAACAAATCTATCCCTACGGCAGTCTGAATGACAGCCATCCATAACAGATAAACTTATGTTCTTAAAGATCTTCATAGGAGGAAATTTCACATCCATTTCTATTATACAATTCCATGTGTCTATTCCCCTAACAGACTGTTTTTTCTTGTGTTTCATGTATTCTTCAGAGCAGTCTTTAATCTTAGCTTTTTTGTTTTCTTGGTTCTTTTTGTTTTAGGAACCTATTTTGCTAGAGATGCTGCTTACTCCAGTCGCTTCTGCAAAGATGACATAAAACATGGAAACACCTTCCAAATTCATGGTGTAAGCCTGCAAAACCGACATCTATTTAGAACATATAAGTCTATGTTTCTTGCTCGAGTGCTGATTGGAGATTATATAAATGGAGACTCCAAATACATGCGACCTCCTTCCAAAGATGGTAGCTATGTGAATTTGTATGACAGCTGTGTGGACGACACCTGGAATCCAAAGATCTTTGTGGTGTTTGATGCCAACCAGATCTATCCTGAGTACTTAATAGACTTTCATTGATCCGACTCACAAATCTCAGTGGTCAAGGAAGTTTATTCTTTCTAGCAGGAAGATTTGCTCTCTTGTCATCTAGCCACTAATGTTAATTATCTGACACTTTTGAAACAGATATGAAAAAAAAGTGGACTCCATATAAAAAGACATACTGACTTTAAGATTGGTTTTATTGTTGTTTTGTTTCTGCTAGTTGTTCACCATCTTGTTTGTTAAAGATGGACACCATTGCCATTTTAACACCTCGCGGTAAAAGATACCACTCAAAAATGAATCAGCGGAGTCTCAGTTAGCATGGTCATGTAGAGTTTTTAAAGTTTCTGTGTGTGTTACTAGGGTGAACGTTTTCAGTTGAGATAGACTTATACCTATATATATGTCCAGAAAATAAATTATAGACATAAACTTGTTCCTTCAGAGGAACTGAACCTTTGTAAAATTGAATTCTGATGTTACTGTCCACCAATCGACATGTTGCTTTGTTGGTCTTCTGAAACCCTGAAGCAGCCTGAGTGTTCTTGAGAGAAGTAGGAAATAAGAAAATTATCTGCAGTCCTGCCAGACAAGCCGGAAGGAGAAAATCAAGGCAGAGTGCCCTGCTTCTGACTGCCCGGATAGCAGGCTGCGTCTCAGATTGCTCCTGTCCCTCTGCTGTCTCCTGCGTCCGAACCGACAAACTCCACAGCTGTCATTAGCCTGCAGTTCGTCCACTGAAGTTCTGGATTTCTTGTACTGAGACTTGCTGCACAAGGTGTTCATTGCAGCTTTAAAGCAAAACTTTTATTTATTATTTAAAGCACATCTTCCTTTTGTTTTGGGGTTCTTACAATGATTACTTCTAAGATATTTTTATCTGCTTCCCCATCACCACACACACACACACACACACACACACACACACACAGCTATTCAACAGGGATTTATAAAATTCACTTCGGAATTTATTTCCCCTTTTTGAATCATTGGATGCGTGGAAGAAATCTGGTTTATTCCTTTCAGTAGCAATTGACAATCTGCTAACTCTCTTGAAAAGTTAGACAAAATTCATCATCATGTTTAATGGAAGTTTGTTTCCCTGTTCTTTCTGTTTTGCTGTCCGATTCTTGAAGTAATGTTGCAACAGCTTCCTGCCCTAAAGGTATTCAGGCAGACGCCAGACAACTGCAGTAGACAGTGTAAGAAAGAACTATTTGAGAATTTACTGTTAACTCTCCTTTTATAAGAAAGCCAATTGAGATCATTTTTAATGTGACAGTATTGAGTTAATTGACACTATAATTCAGGTTGTTTTTGTTTGTTTGTTTGTTTTGTATTGATCAGTAGATTGAGTTGAGAATCATGGTATCAATATGTTATACATGCTGGTCTGGACCCATCCATTTGTCACCTTTTCTTCTTGTCATCACATAGTATGGGTGGGCGAGGGAAGAGAAGCCACTCCAGGTTAAAGAATCAGTGATTTAAAATATTTCACATTGGATGAATTCCAGCTGATAGTGACCTTTCTTTTTCACTTTGGCGATAACAGCCTCAGGGTAAAAAAAAAAATGTTTTTACAAAGAAAGTTCCATTAATCTTGCTGTTATGAGCAGGAAGGTTTTTGTACTAGTGTGACTTTCATCTCTACACTATGGTGATGATGGTGAAGAATTTGGAGCCCTTTTGCTATGTGAGAATACTGTTTTTACATGTGATGATTAAAGCTCTCCATCGCAGGTTTTGGTTGTCTGTTATGCCTCATATTTGTTTCTGTGATTTCTGTCTCATCTCCACCATGCATTATTAAGCCTCAATTTTCAGGTCAAAGTGAAGGAGTACATTGCTTGTAACTCTGTGTAACCCACTCACAGATGGGTCAAGTCTTTTGTTCTCAGTTTGCATTACCCTAATCAGATACCCTGTAAGAAAATTACTCTGTGCTGTTGAAAATTTCAAAACAGACCAAGGCCCGGCTCGGAGGAGCTGCTCCGGAGGTGACCATGCTGCCTGCGCCACCCTGCCTCCAACCAGCCCCTCCCAGCAAGGCCACAGTAACTCCTTTTGAAGTGAGTTAGGCATTGCACTTCATCTTGAAGCTTCTATTGGCAAAAAAAAAAAAAAAAAAAAAAAAAAAAAAGGAAGGTTTCAAAAGATATCTTAATTTTAAAGCTGAGAAAAATGAGAGACTGAATGATCAAGGCTCACCACCCATGGAAACAAATCAAGTTTTACATCTACTAAAGTCATGTTCCACTCTGTCTAAATGTTGGGCTATAATTAAGGTTCATTGTTATGAAAATTCAACTGAGCTCTGATTGACGATGTAGAAATGTGACATGTTTATAGTTTTGTTTCTGGCTGTCCGGGGTTTGAGGTCCCCTCCCAGGCCACAGGAGCAGCACTGGAAACCGCCCTCCAGGTCCTCGTGTGCTTCGTCCCAGGTTGTCCTCTCTCCACGGGAAGGATGTTTGTGTTGTTTTCAATAAACATATCATTTGGAACAGTCCATTTCCAGATGAAATTATGGGTTTTGTTCTGGTAAACAAGAAATTTAAGGGGAAATGAAGATTATCCAGGAAAGAAAAAACATCAGCCTTCTCAAAAATTATGCTTGGTTAGAAACTGTAGCAAAGTGATTGTACTTATTTTTAGCCCTTTGTACTAATCTGCAGGAAGAGGTTTGGTAAAAAGAGCCGCCCTACCACATTTCCTATGAATAATTTTATGATGTTGTTTGGGGCAACGGTGATGGAAGAAATGAACATTTCAAAGAAATATGAAGTACATGATTCTTTAAAAAAAAAACACACCCCACATTTTTATTGATTTCAGAGAGAGAGAAACATCAATGATGAGAGAATCTTGGATCGGCTGCCTCCTGCACACCCTGCAATGGGATTGAGCCCACAACCCTCTCATGTGCCCTGACTGGGAATTGAACTGTGACCTCCTGGTTCATAGGCTGATGCTCAGTCACTGAGCCATGCCGGCCAGGGGAAGTGCACAATTCTCTGTGGGCTTCCTGGTTAGTGTGAGTAATAAATATACAGGAGAGGTGAGTCCTAAATATTTAGAAAAGACATTCAGAGTTCATCCATTAACCTTCACTTTTTTGCAGCTGTAATTTACTTCTCATGTTTTTCAAAAACTCCAGGCTTTGGTAGGATGTGTATTCTTTCTCTGCCCCTGCCCCTTCCTGTACTGAACTGTATTTGATCATCTCAGCTAAAAAGATGTCTTGTTTAGCTTTGGCTGGTGTGGCCTGGTTGGGCATCATCCTGTCCACTCAAAGGTTGTTGGTTCGATTCCCAATCAGGGCACATGCCCAGATTGCTGCAGGTTCAATGATTCTCTCCCGCTCCCTGTCTCTCTAAAACTCAGTAGAAAGTTTTTTTAAAAAGATGTCTTATTTATTTCCAGCACCCAGACAATGACCTCAGACCCCTGCTGTAGAATGCATTTTCTCAGCTCTAATTGCTTGGCTGTCATTCTTTAGCACTGCAGGCTAAGAACCTGGCTTTGTTTTGAACTTTCTCATTGTGTGGCCCTGTATCTAAGAATTTAGCATCTATCTTATTCATTTTTAAGTGGCTTCTCATAAGATTGGAACATAGGGTTATGCCAAAGACATTGGTGTTTTCTGCAACTGAAAAGCCTTATTGGGCCCTCCCCTGAGAGGTTATACAATGCTGATGGTTATTCTGGCTCATGCTAACTTCACTTTGTTAAGCCAGTGTAGGGGAGTCACAATCAGAATTTAATTCCAATTATTTTTGCAATATCCTATATGATAAAAGCATAGTTTGCAAATTGTTCCCTCTGCTGGGAGTTCGTCCAGGAGTTTGACCAGGGGGCCGGGCTGGCCAGCTAGGGGCCCTACCAGTGCACGAAATTCACGTGTATTGGGCCTCTAATTAATTATAAAACAGATTGTCCATGTGTTTTCCTGTTCCTTTTTAGAGAACACCCTTTCCTGAAGGGCTCATTTCAGTTTAATGTCTCCTAGATAACATGTACCGTAGTATCTGCAGGCATTATAAGTCCACATTTGATTAACAACCTTAGAGAATCAGTATTGAAGCCCGTTTTCTCTTTTATCCTTTTAAGATGATCAAGGACCATTTTGGGGGTTGCTGAATCTGAGTTTTCTGACTTTGCAGATTAATTTAGTGTGACCTTGGGTAACTCACAGGGGTAAGGTTCACTTTTCAGAAGGTGAAGTTTATGAAGGACCAATCAGACTATTGTTAAAAGAAAAACACCTAAAAGATTTCTAAGTTTCAACATCTGGCCTGACTGATGACAATGTTTGAGTTTGGGTCAAGAAATACACTAGAGCCGTGGTCGGCAAATTGCGGCTCTTTGGCCCCGTGAGTGTGGCTCTTCCACAAAATACCACAGCCTTAGCGAGTCTATTTTTGAAGAAGTGGCGTTAGAAGGAGTTTAAGTTTAAAATAATTGGTTCTCAAAAGAAATTTTAATTGTTGTACTGTTGATATTTGGCTCTGTTGACTAATGAGTTTGCCGACAACTGCACTAGAGCAAGGATCATGATGCATTAGGAAGCAAGAGTTTAGAACAGGAAGGAAAAGAAATTGACCTGGTTCCCCCCAAATCTCTACCACCCATCAAGGTGGCAACTCTGAGTTCCTGCAGTGTGCCAGTCCAACATGGCCCCGCCCTGATGAACTTAAAGTCTGGCAGGGAGGGGCAGATGCTGAACTGTAACAAGAATGACAGGTTTACCAGAGGGGAAGTTCAAACCAGTATGAGCGCCTGTGATGAAGGAGTCAACCTATCCTAGGGGGTCAGAGCAGGCTTCCCTGGGAAGTGACACATGGCGGTGGAGACCTGAAAGATGAGTGAAGGTGAAGGGTTGATTTTAGTGCCCCTGGCTATACCCAGCTAGTGCCACACAACTTTGGGGAGATGAGAAAAACTAGGTGGAATGGAGGCAGATTGGAGCATTTTTTTAATCATTAAAATTAAGGTGACAGAATCTAAGCCACCTAAAGAACCAGAGTGCTAACCCTACTCCTGCACCCGGCCCTGTGGGTCAGTGTTAAGGGAACCAGGACTAGCACTGAAGGGTATGTGGAGAGATAAGCATGGATTATGTTGGTTTTTATACAATTTACTGAGAGAATCAAGATGCTTGTTACGTAGAGATATTCATCACTCCTGTGCCTTTGCTCATGCCTTGCTGCCTGCCCTCAGAACACAAGCTCACAGACCTCTCACACCTTTCAAGTCCTGTTTATTGGAGTGTGGGCTTGGGAGTCAGATGACCAAGTGGAATCCCAGCACCTCCATTTACCAGCTGTCTGCACTTGAGACTACTCTCTGTGCTTTAGCTCCCTCATCTGTAAATAGGGATAGTGATAATATCTACCGTGTGTGATAAAATACTGCTGTGGAGTAAGTATCAGTCAATATTAGTGGTAATAAGTAAGACCACTTTTAGGCAGTGTTGTGTAACTAATACAGCTCTCGATGACCTGGGATTCTTACAGAATTCACTCTTCACTGGAGTTAAGAGCAAACTTTCCCCCCTCTTAGCATTTACTTGGTCATTTCTCTTTAGCCAAAGACTACCAGAAGCAGCCCCTGTCGGATTTTAGTGAGGGAGAGCACAGGCCGTGGGGAACCACAGAGTATGTTAGTAAGGAAGTTAGAAAGAACTTCCTATAGGATTTGTTAGGGTTAGGTGATTGGGGAGTATCTAAGGAAATGGGGTTTTGCCTTCCATTGGGAGCTGTCAAAAGCAGGCAAGTCTCTGATTGGGCATCTCAGTCTGAAAGAAGGACTACTGGAGGAGGCACTGCCACTTGTAAAGAGGCAGCAGGCACTCGCTTAGGGTGGGCTGGGCTGCTGGGTATTCTGCAGGTGGCATAGTGAGCTTATTTTTGTCTGTGCTTAGACAAAATTATGAAGTGACCTTGTTTTATCTCATTTTCTCAGTCTCCAAGTACCTTTGTCTGAGGTTGATATCTTGAGAGTTTATGTTCAGTAGGAGAATAATATAGTTTAGTCTGAGTTCCAGGCCAGCTTCTAAATGTCAGAATGCTTTGTTTTTCTTTGTCATTGAGTAACTTTTATTTCGGCTAGTTTTCTTCCTTCATGGAAATGGTAAGTCAATATATTCATTCATTCAACAAAACATTGAGTATATCTACTACATACCACCCACTATGTTAAACATAGGCTGCAATGGTAAAATGCCCATGTGCAGGGTGCTCAAAGTCTAGTATGAGAACAGATTTCAAGATTGCTTCAATCAACTATTTTTTGTGTGTTTTGTTTTAAATGCCTTCTTCAACTTTCCTGCAAAGAATATCCGAGGCTATGCCTGCATGCTTCCAGTGACAAGAAACACTTGCCCCCTCTAAGCAATTCTAGAGATTTGGTGTTAGAAAATCAATCCTTACCTTGATCTGTAATCTCTTCCCCTGTATTCCATCATCTGTGCCTGTCTTCCATTCAAAGTGCACACAACAGGTTCTCTGCATGTTCCCTGTAGCACCTCTGTGTAGTCAACACATGGAAGGTCTGACTGAAATCTGATTCTCAAGTCTCAAGGCTGTACTGACTACTCATATTTTTCTCAAGAGTACTATATTTTTCTGTGTATAAGATGCCCCCCCCAACTTTTCCAATCCAAAATTAAGAAATCAATATTTTAAACAAAACAGAACACATTTTTATTTAGTAATTACTACATTGTTTACATATATAATAT